TTCTTTTTTTTTTTTTTTTTTTTTTTGCTCATGGGTTCTTGCTCTGGGTTCCCTGCACAGACCATTCTCTCTCCCTTCTCTGCAACTCTGTGAAACAGATCTAGACTATTCCATCTAGATATGGGTAGTGATGGCAAATCCTTTAGAGCTTTCAATGATAACAGTCAGCCTATTATGCCATGCATGCCATAGCATTGCCACCCCCGATCTAGAGTATTCTTTTGCAACTTCTAGGGTTATCTTTTCATGACCTCTTCACTTTCAAGAGAAGAGTACTAGAATTGGAAGAGGCATGGAGCAAAAGCATTCCAGGTCCAAGTGGGGAAACTCAGGGCCGAGCAAGTCCAAAAGCTGAGCGAGCCTGTGCACAGTACCGCCCTGGCAGCCCAAAGGCAGTGGCTGGGATCCACTTGCTTCACCCTCATTGAACAGTTTTGAGAAAATTCCTTCACTACAATGACCCTTTGTTTCTACATCTACAATAGGGAGATTTTTTTAAAAAATCACATTTCATATGGTAGTGAAGGTCTAACCAGAAGAAAGTTACAAAAGCCTAGAACATGGGCCAGCATGTAGGCGATGCTTGATGGGAAGCACATATGTGCTGGGTCAGATTTCTCACTGATTCCTGTTTCACCATCTTCTATGTTTATTGTCCCCTCTCTCCTACCTCCCGGACTTGGATACCTCTTTTGCCTCAACTCACCCACCCCATTATCTACACTCTTCTCTTGCCTTTGCTCACATTTTATGATTAGAATGACACAGTTACCTCTACTGCCTTCTCTATAACTGTCTAATACTTTCCCAATTGAGCTCCAAGAGTCATTAGGGGAAATCTGACGTGTGCATCTCACACAGGAAGAAATTTGATGAATTCTTTCTCTTAGAATAAAATTCGAAATCTCTACTACAGACTGAAGGCCTTGCATCTGGCCTCTGCACATTCTCAGACCTCACCTGTTTCCTTTTCTCTTTCAGTGGCTTATTTATTCATAGTTTCCACAAATACCCCCAAATTCTTTCTTACCTTCACATATTTAGCCACCCATGTTCCTCTCCCTCAATGATCTCCTTCTCATCCTTCGAATCTTATCTCAACAATCAGCCCCTCCCTCACTGGCATGGCCAAAGATGGCACCATCACTTTCCTACTATATCACCTCCAACTTTTGTACTACTTGTATGGAATTACTTCTTCACATGCAGCCAGATCAGAAAGGGTTGAGGCATTGAAGTTCATCTTTACCATGTAATAACATTCAGTGAACCCACCAATGGATGGACAAATGAATGCCTGAACATACACAAAGAATACTGTACAAGTCAGAGAGCCTCTGCTCTTGGAATAATTTGCTGGGTGACTTTGTACAAGTTATTCCCCTGTCTGGGCTTCTATTTGTACAAGTTATTCCCCTGTCTGGGTTTCCCTATGAGTATAATAACAATTGAGCTTCATGGTTTCTAGAGTCCTAACTAGCTGAAAAATCTTTCTCAATGAGAGAAAGGTAGAAGGCAAAGGTCTGGTCAGAAAGGAATAGAAACAGACATTCCCCATAAACTCTGTCTTCCATACTCTTCTTTCTATCCTCCGGTGACCTTGTCCTCTCTCCAAAATCTTTGGACAGTAAGGTTCTAGATATTACTAGTTTATCATGCTCATTGAGGTATTCTGGCTATGTTCAAGTGGTTGTTACCATTCACTTCCTTGCCAAATTAACTCGGGCAGTTTTAGAATTTAAACAGAGAGACATGTCTGGAAACCAAAAGAAGGTACCAAGCCATATATGACCAAGTCTAGAAGGTTTGGTCTAAAGAGACTTAGCCAGAGCCAGATCCACTACAAGCTTGTAAATGCAGCTTACTAGGAGTTTGGCATTCAGCGGTAGGCTCCTCATAGGAACTGTATGACTTTCAGCAAATTCCTGATACTCTGTGGACCTCAGTCTCTACATCTATAAGGCAGAGCTCCTCACATAAAGAGCACAATGCTCTGGAGTGAAGTCAATGCAATTGGCTCATCTCCAAACTAGTTCTCAGCATGTTCAATGCAGAGGAGGGGGATAGAGTCTCATTCCCTTCTCTTGCCTGTTTGTGGACTGCCCTTTTGAGCTTGCCTTGGAGTTTACTCTTGCCCCAAGATTTCTCCCGGATCAAGTGTTTAAAGTTGGGAGAAGCAGAGTCCTAGCTGTCTGAAAGTTTGACCTGGGAGAAACTGGGGGAAGCATGTTTATGTAGGTTCCTGCACTGAATATTATCATAGACATCAGTGATTCTCAAAGATCTGCCACGTGCCACATGATGTCCCATGCTGGCTTATTAATTCTGCACAATTCTAGGGAACTATCATGAAGAGCTACCCACCTTGCAGACAAGAAAATTGAGGCTTCAGAATGTTTAAAGCGAAACCAACTTGCCACAAACATCAGTGCCACAAGTAAGTTGATGGTACAGGACCCTAAACTCCATTCAAATACCGGGATATTTCATCAAGACAGAGTAAAAGAAAAAAGGAATTTTCTTCAAGATCTGGAAGGGCTGACTGCTGTTTCTCTCTTCTTAATAGCCAGTGGTCTTTATCTCTTGTGATGTGCTTGGCACTGAGCTAAACTCAATGTGTATTATCTCATTCACCCTTCCTAGCAACCCTAATAAGGCAGCTATTCTTACAGTCCCCACTTACATCTTAGAACTAAGATGCAAAGAGGTAAATCACTGGCTGGCAGGTGGCCTGGAATCTGTATCCATGTTTGTAATTACTCCCCAGGACCTTTCCCCAGGAATCAGGGAGACTAGGAGTCAAGATCTTCTCTTCACAGAGGAAGAAACTGAGATATAGGGAGGCGAATTACATGCTGTTAAAATCAGAGATCCAAGTCCAATTCCAAGATTCCCTGCCTCTCCAAGATGCTTCTTACTTTTCTGCAGATGACCTCCTACAAAAACCTATCACACACAGCTTGAGCTCCATGATGGCCATTTGGAAATTCCCAGTATCAAGTGGCAGGTCTGTCCCATAAATGGCTTGGATACCCAATGTGGCCTCTGTTAACCAGTGTGGTTCAATGGTCCAAGGCCAGAATTCTTTCCTTTTAATCTCTGG